GCTGACACAACCTTTTTATTCGCCTGACGTTTCGAGATCCGTCGCGGATTCACCATCAGACACATAAGCAATAGCAGATAAGGGTTGCTATTGGCTCTGATGATGAATCCGCGACGGATCTCGAGACGTCAGGCAAAGAAAAATTTTGTGCCAGCGATCGAGTCGTCTTCTTCTCAATTACTTCCTGAGACTCACATGATCGCTTGTTTTGACACCTTTCTACCCCTCGGCTATTGGATTGAATCCGTAGCTACTCTTAATGGTACGCCCCAATGTTGACGTAGGATCATGGATATTCCACCACATATTTCTTTGCTTAAAATGAACAGTGCTAGAGTCAAACAGACAAACGAGTTTAAGAAATGAACTCTTTACTAAAACACGCCCTAAGCTTTCTGGAATATTCTGGCCTGTGGTGTGTCAGCCCTTGATTGGCCTTTTTTGCGTGAGAACCCCTTCGCAGAAAAATCTATAATGTTTGACCGGCTGCTGATTGGGCCGCAAGCATGAGCTACAGTGATATTAGGCTGGCTGTGAATCTACCAAACCCCCGTGTCAGGAAAGAGACTAGAGGCGGCGGCATCGAACTCAGGTGACTGGTAAAGCGTGAATCCGCAGCTGGGCGTGCGCATCCCGAACAACGTCTGCCGTGCACTGAACGAAGGCAGTAGCAAGTGATCATTACTGAAGACATCCGTTTAGGGAGCAGGTGAGAGAATTCTCGGATTCACTCAGCGGCGCCGCAATGACTGGATCAGATGAAGAATCCTGCAGTTGTTTGCCGAGATGACTCGAGCCAGGTCGCACAACAATGCTTCCTTCCACCAACTCCGAAACCTGACAGCAAATTCGGCAAGAGATGATCGGCAGAAGTATCGATTCGAAACGGCGACTTCTATGGAGCGGGCTTCAAATGTTGTACCAAATCATTCGCCAAGTTAGTGGCAGCAAGCCCCCAACACTCCGTGACTCCGTTCGCGATGTAAATGGCGGCTTTATTGCTGACAAATCGGCCAAGGGCGATCGTTAACGTGGACACTTCGAGCACCTCCTCAACTTTGATGAACAACCCATCACACTCCCCCTCTCCTCCACAGCGGGGTTTCGACCCTCTCCAGCCCTCGCAATGTCGTGTGACCTCCCTTCCGAAGACGAAGTTGCCGATGCAATGCAGAAGCTGCGCAATAATAAGGCGCCCGGTATTTCCGCAGAAATATACAAGTCTTGTGTCGACACTCTGGCTCCCCGGCTTCATGAGGTGATTGGACAGGCGTGGCAAAACGAGGCCATTGCTGATGACTTGGGTTTAGGCCTGCGTGTACCTGCCTACAAGGAGGAAGGTAAGGTGCGAGAAATACCGCAGCAAAGTCCCCGTTTTAAATCAAAACATTTACCATGCTACCCCAGGCAAGATCACATGCAGTAATCCCACCGGGGTCATACGTGAATTTTTGATCTGAAGCCATAGGTCGAGGGCCTCCCGTTAGGACGGCACAGAACATGAGTCAACACTCTTGCCGTCCTGGGGTCACGATAACGCAGAAACCTCCCCAAAACGCGAAAGTGCGCAGTCACAAACACCCATGCGCATGCGTAAAAGCGCCGCCATCACACGATGGCTGCCTAAATAGGCCGCTCACCCATGGACCAATAAGAGGAGACAAGACGGACGAACGCCGTTTATCCTTAAATACGATGCCACAGGCAGAATTCTGGACTTGCTGCCTACGGGGATAACTTGACGGACACACGACGAGCTGCGAGACACGCGCAGAGTGTGATGTCCACGCGCTAACGGTTACAATAAATTTTTCTCTGCTATCCTGTCCGTCTTCTATTTCACACATACAACTGGGGGACAAAACACCTCCGCGCCTATAGTAGTCTCTGAGTCAAGATAGCGACATGAAAGGATGCAAGGCGGGAGGGAGGGAGGCGGATACAACCATAAAATAGCCTACTTTGCATTAAGTGGTCGAACATTGACGTAGTTCTCCTGGACGAACAGGGGTCC